AAATCATGTGCTTTATATCTTGTCCTTTTAGTATTTTAAGAGAGCAACAATCATTTTTCCATTATTAGATGTTAAAATTTTATCGAATAAGCACTTGTGGTAGATGACTTGTTATAGGCAGTTTGCCCACCGCTAATTATTCCTGTTATATATATATATATATATATATATATATATATATATATATTTGTAACCCTATGTATATAAAACAGGAATAATTAGCGGTGGGCAAACTGCCTATAACAAGTCATCTACCACAAGTGCTTATTCGATATATATACAGTCACCTGTTACCGAATAAAGTAAAACCGCATCGCAAGTCGTTCGTGACAATCGATAGGGATGTGATGTAATGACCGGATAAGCTTATTTCAATATAAAGTTGGTTTTGAGATAATTGAAGAGAATCATAAATGAATTATATGGTCACAGTTAATTAATAACTGGCAAACTTGGAAGTAATAGCAACTGATTAATAAGTATCGCAACTAGGAAGGAGATGGGATGGGACCGTGTTCGCTTTTATGCACAAAGTTTAGTCTTTCGTTCGACAGTGCATCAGTTTGAATAACATTGGAGAAACTGTAATTTGAATTTATTGTCCACATCCGACCTTATGTTGATAAGGAGTTTTTAACACAGTCCGCCTTTGAGAGGATGACAGCCGAATGTTTGGTGCTTTACCAGTCTTAGCGGGTACACAAGATCCACCTAGATCTGTTGGGAAAACCCAGTCCAATGGCGCACATGGGCTGCAGAATCCCAAGGGAAACTACTATGCGACGGTATTTACTAATGGTTCACTGACTTATGAATTAGACCTATGGAGATTTAAAAAACCTGATGTCAGTGATTAATTGAATGCTACCATCGAATACGGATTTTGAACCAGTCTTTCTTCGAATATGTCCCACTCAAATTGGGCTTCGAATTCCTCACTAAACCAGACTCAACAACATGAAGGTTGGTTATGTTTTTAAAAGGCCCTGAAACTGACGTTTGTTTTCTATGCTGGAGTCGTACTCAAGACTAGTGATGTACTACAAACTCGCTCTATCTATTGCTTTCAAATGCTCGTTTAACCTGCGTCTATGCAGAGTCCTTGTTCAGTGTGGCCGGTTTTAGTGGCACGTGGGTTTACTCCGGGTAAACCCGAGCTCGATAACAAACGTAGATTGTTACGCAATAGAACTGTACAAAGCTTGCGTTAGGACCAATAAGCCTGGTGGTCTGAGCGTGCTAACGAGTTGGGAACAGCAGTTGGACATGATAACTACTCGGAGCTCTTTCAACTCATCCGATTCATTGGCAGCAAGAAGTCCGGCATGAGTGATCCAATTTGCGAAGCTGATGGAACGCCGAAAAATGACATTTACCGAAATTTCATACAACGATCAGAGCTCTGTGAAGAGCAGTTCAACTGGTCTACTGCCCCAGCGACATCAGTCAGACTGTCCTGTCCTTAATCGTCAGTGACAACTGGTCCCCCAAACGACATGGAATCTCGAAATGAACTCCAAATCTTGAACCGCCCCAAATCACCAGGTCCAGATGGACTGGAAAGAAGGACACCTCGTCAAGATTCGAAAGAAAGGAGATCTGAGCAAATGTGAAAACTACAGAGGCATTACACTACTGTCAATACCAGGGAAAGTCTTCAACAGATTGTTGCTGAACTGGATGAAGGATGCAGTAGACGCCCAACATCGAGATCAACAAGCTGGATTCCGTAAGGATCGGTCGTGCACAGACCAAATTGCAACACTACGGATCATCGTCGAACAATCAGTTGAGTGGAACTCATCACTATACATCAACTTCCTTTATTATGAAAAGGCATTCGACAGTATAGATAGGAGGACATTATGGAAACTTCTTCGACATTACGGAGTTCCTGAGAAGATTGTCAATATTATCCGGAACTCATACGACGGACTACAGTGCAAAGTAGTGCATGGAGGACAGCTGACAGATCCATTCCAAGTAAGAAGCGGAGTCAGACAAGGCTGTCTACTCTCTCCCTTCCTCTTTCTTCTGGTGGACGACTGGATTATGAAGACCTCAACATCTGAAGGAAAACACGGAATACAATGGGCAGCTCAGAATCAATTAGACGATTTGAAATTCGCAGATGAGCTAGCCCTCCTATCACGTACACACGAACAGATGCAGATGAAGACAGCCAGTGTAGCAGCAGTCTCTGCATCAGTAGGCCTCAGCATACACAAAGGGAAAACTAAGGTCCTCAAATTCAAAGCGAAGAACAGCAATCCAATCACACTTGATGGCGAAACTCTGGAAGATGTAGAATCCTTCACATACCTAGGAAGCATCATCGATGAACAAGGAGGTTCAGATGCAGACGTAAAGGCGAGGATCGGCAAAGCAAGGGTCGCATTCCAACAATTGAAGAACATATGGAACTCAAAACAACTTTCAACCAATATCAAAGTGAGAATCTTCAATACGAACGTCAAGGCAGTTCTACTGTATGGAGCTGAAACTTGGAGAACTACAACAACCACAATCAAGAAAGTACAAGTATTTATAAATAGCTGTCTTCGCAAGATACTCAACATCCATTGGCCGGATACCATCAGCAACAGCCTTCTGTGGGAGAGAACAAACCAACTTCCAGCTGAAGAAGAAATTAGGAAAAGACGATGGAAATGGATAGGACATACACTACGCAAATCGTCAAACTGCATCACGAGGCAAGCCCTTACTTGGAATCTTGAAGAGAAGCGAAAAAGAGGAAGGCCAAAGAACACATTGCGTCGTATAATAGAAGCAGATATGAAAACGATGAATTACAACTGGATGGAGCTAGAAAGGATTGCCCAGGACAGGGTTGGATGGAGAATGCTGGTGAGCGGCCTATGCTCCTTCACGAGGAGTAACAGGCGTAAGTAAGTAAATAAGTAAGTATCACCTTTCCCTCCGGAAAAATAAATCTTATCGCTTGGATTTAACTAAAAGCGTTGAGGGAAATTTCCTGTTTATGATCTTCTTGAGGTATGGTTATCACTTCGCCCGCGCCGATCCTGACGCTCCCAGCTGACTGTATCAATTAAATAATCTAGTTGCAGGTACGAGCTAGGAAGTTCTTCATTCGTCTGTCATGGGTGTGGTTTAAATGTCGCGCTCTAGAAAACTGATGTTCAATTCTCTTCGAATCGGGTTTATAATCTTGTCTCCCTCTTTGTAAAGTGTTCGAATCTTCCTTCCGAACGTTGATTCAGCAGGAGAGAAACCCTAAGTAAGGCTGGATTCAAGATTATCGCTGGTGACTTTCTCAGTCATGCACTCCTTTTGTAATCATTTTTAAAATCACGTGATATGAGGGTAGGGAGATACTCGGTTACAAATAAGGTTAGATAACTGATCGAGCATTTATGGACCTGATTTGCAAATAAGATTAAATGGATAATCAGACATCTTTAATTCTGTGATCCAGTCAAAACCTAATATATTGAAGGATTCATCAGTAACATAGCGTGTGGATTTGATTACTAGATCATTAAATTTGAATACACATTTGATGATTATAGAAATTTTGATTGGGATGCCCGATGCATTTTTTATACAGTCGTTAGTAGGATGAGTGCTTGGCTGACCAAGTTTCGCGAAAATTAAACTGACGACGGATGCAGTGTCCAACTGCAAAGTGATAATGCGATCATTAACATTAATGGATAAATACTTGCGTAAGCATTGTGGATTTGACAATACATGAACACAATTGATCCTTTTTTCATCTAATAATGGGATGAGAGATTGCGAAATCCCTACTTATGGTCATTTATTCCGCACTTTGCGCGTCTCTGTTTATTGAATGGAAATTAATAAGAGAAATACCATGCGCCACAGTCCCGAAAAGCAGTGGGAGACTGTGAATTAGGATCATGAACATTATACATTCGATTTGGGCGAAGAAAATTTTGCGAACCATGCTTTCTAACATTAATCTATCGATCTGAATTAGAATCTATTGAGATGCAAAAAGTAATCAAAATGTTGTTTGGATTATTTAACTCCTCTTTAAATGACCCAGGGAACCTAATATCTATCAGACCTACTAAATCCTTCCGGTTTCGTAGATAATCCTATAATATCTTACAAATATTGTACTCACTTTATTGATACAATATATACAAGTAACTAGGTCGTTTCGTAATGTTGTGAATGGTTAGGTGGACTACACTCGCTGAAAGTAACTAAGTTTCTCATTTGGACATAGATATGCCCAATCTTATGTGACAGGTATCAAGTAATGATTTTAATTTGTGAATGCACAAGAAGTAACTTTTCCGTTTTTAAACTCCTCATACTACGAACCTCCACTTTTAACAATTAGAAAGACCATGAAACAACAGAGTGTACAAGTTTGGAGTTGCATACGACATTACGTACTTCTAACCCCCTTGGTATAATCCATAAGTCGTTGAGAAGTCCCATCCTCTTTTTTATTTGCTACTGGGGTTTCTTATAAACTAGCGTCTCAATACTTATGGATATGGGACAAACAACTGTGATGAAATACTTCATATGAAACCAAACGAGTATTCGTGGTATCAAGTAATTGGAGCAATATTTCATCAAGAGATAACTCGCAACCTATAATCATATCAATCATAACTTGAACAAAATACGATGCAAGGTCAATTGCTTAAGCAAAAAAAATAGTTATCACTGGTTTTTCCACTAAGTTTTAAGCAAACATAAACGGATAAAATGGGGGGGGGTACTTTTATCTTAGGATGACGATTTCGGAAGTGTAGTGCTCTCTGAGGTGGATGGTATAGTCGCGAAACTTTCATTTTCCTTCTAGACAACATCGGCACATACTTCGACATAATCATCTAGTTAAATGAGCATAAAATAGGTGGAAATTTTGACTATTTACAGAAAAGCCGCCGTTAACATGTCTAATTATACTACGATCAACAAACTATTAAATCCAAGTAGTTGGGGAAGTAGTTTTCACAGAATAGAAGTAGGTTTTTCGGATAAATGCTTCTTTTTTACATCCTTACTACCTTTGATAAAATAAAGGTGCAGCAAGAAAGTATGAAGTTTACATTAAAGTACGTGGATGATTATAGTTGTTAGAAAAATAGGTGTGCAAATGAATGAAATAAAAGTTTAAACAAAAACCATGGAAGTGTTATGTATGTTTATAAAATTAAGTAAAACAATCGTAAATGAAGGTCTATCAAAAATAAATACTACCGTTGATAATAGAAACTACAAATTTTATCAGTTCAACTTATCAATTAGATTGAAAAGTTTGGTAAAATCTCTTTGGGCACAGTCCTGTTGTTGACTGATAAAATTGGTTTTAATGAGCAATTTTGGAAGCCAATCATTTATGACTTTATGGAAACGCTCAGACGGATCTAGACTTTGTAAAAGTCGACCAATCCAGTATATAAGACGTCCACTGGCAAATAACATCCAAAGTGGATAAAAGCTTATGAAAGAATTTTTTAAATGTGAAGTATCAAATTCATCAATATTTGAGACATAAAACGGACAAAGCACCTCAATCAGTGCAACTAAATGATTTAATCCAGAGGCCATACTTTGCAATTCATTAAGTTGGTGAACATCTTCGATACAAAAGAAAGGTGAATTTCTTTGGCAATAAACTGATTTTGCTAAATCAGCACATTTATTGAAATGTGTGCAAATAGAGTTGACAAAATCTTCAAAAGTATTATTTCTACCAAGAAATTCACAATTTAAATTGATAGCGATTGCGCAACATGATAGGGCAAGTCCAACTGGTGATGTTTGAATGTTTTTAGCTTTAGATTGAGCATGGAATGAAGATCTGAACCATAGAACTAATAAAACAGCTAAACCTTGTATTTCAAGAGGTTTAAAATCTTTTACTAAATTCACATTAAAAGACTGGGAGAAAAAAGATACGAACGAAAATTCAGGTGTTTTAGCACAAGGGGGTTTAAGAGGCTTCACGGAAATTAAAGTCTTCGTCAATTGACCATTCGAACTTCTTCTGTACTCAGTGACACACCCATTCTCCATTCCACATAACTTTTCATTGGTGCCTAAGTGTTTTTCAAGGCCATATATAAGTCCATTTAAAATACTTCTCATTTTAGACATACATTCGTTAATTGAATTAGGACTCTTTATATCCTCCACTACTTGACGAGGGACAACGCCATTTCGCACATACATGTAGTCCAAAAAGCTTGGGATTAATTCCAAAGATTTAAATCGTTTAATCAATTCTTTCGGCCAATGGTGAAATATACTAACTTTATCATTATTCCGCTCAAAAATAGGTTTAGAAAATTTGAAAGGATCTTCAAAGCAGGAACCCCATGAAGTTGTGGAGTTTTGAATGTTTGAATTTTCAAGTTTGCTTGATGATGGGACACTTAATGAGACATAGTGTTTGTTTGAAAATCCTAATGCATGAGCCAGGTTTTCACCTGAAATATTCAGAAAATAATCCGAAATCCCCGAACGTATTGTCTCCTCAATATCATCCCTTTCATTTTGGCTGTAAAGTGACAGAATTAATGACAATGGTTGTTTCATATCACAGAATTGTAAGATCCAGTTAAATATAGCATGGATACGTCTTTGATAGTAGGATGTGTTCTGTAGATCAGAAGTATGGATTAGAGAATCGATGATAGCTGGAAGGCGAATATTTGATGTTATGTCATTACCAACGAGAATGGCAAAAAGTGGTAACATAGGATACTTGAGTTTATAAAACGGTCCTGAATTATTAAGGACTTTACACGATATAAAAAAACATGGAGAACCATCAAGTTTACAAACAGAACAAGGGAGGGATCTCTGCTTACAATCGAGTAGAATAGATGAAAGTGGAATAAAACTATAGACTTGATTGTCATCGATTGGTCGATAAATCAAAAAATCAGAATCTCCACTAGTAATGGGACATTGAAGAGAAATAGCTAGTTTTGCTATACTGATATCAGCTTCACGTTCACATGCTATGTATCGAACTGAAGTTTCCCGTAGAATTTCCACAAGAACATGTCTACATAGTCGTGGAGTTATATCGATTTTCAAGTCTAGGCTATCTAGATTAGAAATTGAGTTAATATTACGAAGAGCTGATGAGAGTTTATTAAATTGGTCAACGTTTCGCTTCAACAAAGTATCCAATTTTGATCCCTTAGGAGAGCGAAAAAAATTCATTAGTTAACTTATAAAATGAATCATTGTATGTAACAAACTCGAAAAATATATTGCTCAAAATTTTGTGTTCAGTTTCTTTACATTTATCACATTTGGTTGTAAATGTTTTATTAGCACTCTGAGAAATATACCAATAAACGAAAGGGTAGTGATGAAATTACACCTCGAGAGGTAGTAAAAAACTTATTAGTACGTATAAAAGCTCGAATAACACTAAATAATTGCTGAATTGTACGCTTAATAAACAAATTATCCTTGTATGAGATAGACTTCTAGATATACACATGACTGTATAAATATGTTAATTTGTAGAGGTCATTGCTCATAACTCGAGTCTCAATGTGAAACATAATGTCTTGTTGCAAAATCCTAAATACACAAAATAATTGTTCTTTTGCAGCATTACCGAAGTGGATGGCCTATAAACAGACGAAAGCGCTTGACATGCATTTTTTCTGACGTGTACATCACTTTCTAATGATTTAATTAATTAGGCAGTTAAGGTAAACAATTATAATTCCTATAATGCAGTGATTGCTTAGATCAATTATGATACTATATACAATAGTGATGAGATGTATACTACACAAAAACTTTCTATTTTAAATAAATGCCCTAAGATTTAAGTAGACTGGAAAAAATGTAGGCAGTAAGAGAAAAAAAGTACTATGATATTGAAAGCATACCTCTTTAGAATGACATCCATCAAAAACGAAGATTGGGTTCACACGACAGATACGAAACTGTTTTAGGAATAACTGGACATAACCTTTAAATGCCAAATACTCTCCACCATATTCACATCGCAAAGCAGCTTGACGATAACAGAGAGAAGCGAAGTTTTCAGCATCAATAACTAAAGGTTGGTTATGCAATTCATACGAGGAGAAGTTTTCACTGTTACTTTGAATATACGTCCACAAGCCTCGGATACCCATCTGTCCTAAAAGATGAAACGAGGTGCTACGAGTGTCAGAATCTTTAACAAGAATAATAGATAGGTAAGGAAAGAAGAAAACGTTCGCATCTAAATATGTAGAAAACCTGACACCTATAAAACATAATAGTAAATAACTGGGTGGATAGAAATTTTATAAGGTGTAATAATGAATATTCATTACTAGGTAAGGGATACAATAAACCCATTTATTTGACAATCAAATAATATCATTCTATTTCTCCTAGACCAGTTTATTTTCTTCAATAACTTCGGTCGCTATTTTACTATATGCTTGGTTACTTTTACTAGGACAGATTTAGAACAACTTGGTACTAAAATGACCTGCAGCTTGCTTACAAAAAATACGAAATACAATCGATATTCCAGAAGCAACTTATAGAGATTTATGAATAAAAGGATGAGCTTGTATCTAGAGACAATGAATGATTTATCTCTATGTCTGCCTACCTAACCATTTCGCAATAGCATATGCAACTAAGTAGAGTTCACATAGAAAAACATTGAATCGTCAGAATAGCAATATATTTAAAAATATATACATATGGAGATTTTATTCATCACGCCAAACTGCATCAACAGCATCTGTACGATAGCGTTGAGAGACAACAGAGTCTTTCAGCGGAAAAGTCAAACCGGCATCAAACATTAGACATCCAGTATGTGCTATCATAGCACCATTATCAATACAAAATCGCTCATCAGTTGCGAATAATTTAGCACCACGCTCTTCAGCCATGCAGTTCATCATTTCCTGTAGACGCACGTTGCAACCAACACCACCGACAATGAGAACCTCCTGAAAAATTTCAAAATGTAAAATACTCATCCCAATATAATAAGACTAATTAGTTAGTAATTAAAAGAATTTAAGATGAAAATTGTCATGCTTGTCACTATTATGTCTTAGCTGCCTTGCACGTGGTGCTGAAAATCGCAAATACGACGAAGTGTAGTGCTTGATAATGATTTATTTGACTCCCAAAATAAATCAAAATGTTATATGCATACACAATTCTTTATATGATTTACATACAGTCATACTGACAGTCAGACTTGAATAGTTTGACTGGGTATTACTTAAGAACAATAAATCAATGTCATACCCATAAAAATAACCACAAATAGAAAACCGAATACGTTGTAGTGTCAGTTACTATGTTAAGCCCATATAGGTTATTCTCGCTTCTAAACAGGCCAACTTATTCATTCTTCTCGAGTCACGTTTTGACCTTGTTAATTATCCACTTATCAACCCTGTTTTTATATGTGTACATCCTATCCTATTCATCACATGTCTGTAGCTTATATTTGTGTGACTATATTGATTAACGCTTGGTTGAATCGAGTTGGTCCACAGGGCTTCATCGCGCATCATTCCGCTTCGCTTCGTCCCTCTGATTGTCTGTCCAGATAAATGATTGCACAAAATATACGCATTCAAAAATTCATTCTGGTATTTGGTTTATTTAATTCTGTTATTCACTAACGCGGATTAAGTCGATAAATATATACGAGGCCACTAAAACGTAAACACGATACCGTGTATATTTGCCCGGTCTAACATAAACAGGATCAGATGTTAGATTGTTTTGAAAAATTTCACGGCACAACCAACATTAAATAGCCATGACGTATCTGTACCACGATGTTGAAATTTTAATTCCTATGAATAAAGATTAGTGACTTCATTTTACATCATAGTTACGTTTTAGTTAATGACTAGTAATATTACTTAGCTTATCATGTTTATTTAAAGACAGAGACCGACAAATATCTTATAGACGGCAAGATTCACAAGTAAAGAGCAGAGTTGATTTCACTAAAGTACCTTTTATAGATACAGCGAAACTTTGACATAGATAAGCTAAATTACCATAAGCTTTTCCTCTGGTAATCTAGTTAGTTTCAGATTGAAAATGTCACCTGTCCAACTAAAAAGACCTAGAAATAAATCTTCTGAGCCGAGTATCTTGTGACATCCTACTAGTTGGAGTTCTTTCCTAAGATATCATTACGTCAATTGGGGTACGATTTACAGAATTTCCTAGAACAGGGGGTCAGTTAAACCATCGTTCAGATGGCTTCATGTAGTGCTCTAAGGATCTTTAGAAATATGCATTGAGTGCGCTATCATCTCGATATTTTTTCATTGGCACTAAGGATTTTGTTCAAGTGACTTAGACGAACAGGCGATAAGCTTCATCAACTGCCACTATGAGTCTTGACTATCAGATCAAGTATTCCTTGCAAAATTTTCGATAATTCAGGGATGAAGATTACTACAATATGTTGGATTAAATGAGCTGGGATTAACTATCATTTGTCTAAATATCACAAGAAACCTAGTGTTTACGATTACAGAGTTAGCTGAATATTTACAGAAACTTTTTTTAGGTCTTGCTATTGCAGTTAACTAACATGGAATTCAACCCGATCTTGCATAATTCGTTGGGATGTTGAATGTAGCTAATTTACTGACCAGAAATCTAAATGAGTTTACAGAACATTAAATCATGACCAAAATCCAAAAATATACATTAAAATAATATACAATCCAACAAACATACACTTCATCAATTTTCTTTCTTTATGCAACACAGTGAATAAAACAGAGCTAAACCACATTGAATAATTCTACTTCGTTCGATGCTATAATCATTTTGTTGCTATGTATAGTTTAAATTCAACGGTAGTAAACATTGTAAAACACAATATATTTGAGATCTACAATCATAGTGACTAGGAGAATGTAAGATACGTTTTAAGCAACCATATGTAAACTAAGTCAGTTTATTTATAAGATCATGTTTATAAATTTAGTATACCTGCTTTTTAATGTCGAACTTGATATATGTGAGAATAACTAAGAAACTAACATAACGTAGTATTGGGTCCATTACATGGAATCAGAAAAAAATCAATAGATCAAACCTTCTAGCAAACAGAATTAGTTTAAAATGACTCTGTGAAATGCTTAATAGAAAACGATACATAACAGTCGAAAGAGCAGATTCTGGAAATTAACAAGAAATTGCAAATAATTTATTTAACTATATAGTGTTTCAGGAGAATTTCAACCAGGAAATGTGGAAAACGACATGCTATAGATGTTAAAGATCCCTAAGATTTATTTATTTATTTTAACACATAGATATTGGTACAATGAGGCACCAAATACATATGCGCCACACAAATCTCATTCGATGTGTGAGGGCTGTGATACTGCCCGGGTGCCCGAACCGAAGCAGGAGATCCCTAAAAGGGAGATGGTTTGGAAACTGATTCGTTATTTCTAGATTTTCCAACCCGAAGTTAAGAGGCAACAAAACAATTCCATTTGAAATTGCTAAATATATTTACTATATCAACTACATGACTTCTGTGACCACGTTTATGGTACGATACGCTATGCTACTTTTTAATATTCAGTAGTTTGTGTTATCTACAAACATAATTGGTGACCTACTGTTTTATAGGGTTGAGTTAATTTGTCGTAACTAACCATTCAACGATACTCCTCTTTCAATATTTCATTGTTTATTCTAAACAGCACTTAATGCTTTTTCATCGCCTAGTCTACCTTTTATGATGCATTCGCAGGAATTCCAGTTATTTTGAGCTATTGGATTAGTCTGGAAAGATTGTTTAATTTACCCATGCTGATTCCTGATAATCCCATTTGACACAAGTGCTGAAGCACGATGTATGTTCACTTGCTTGAAGGAACCAATTTTCGCCAAACTACAGGTTTCGTGATCAAATTAAATTAAGGACGTCACAACAATTCCATTTGAAATTGCTAAATATATTTACTATATCAACTACATGACTTCTGTGACCACGTTTATGGTACGATACGCTATGTTACTTTTTAATATTCAGTAGTTTGTGTTATCTACAAACATAATTGGTGACCTACTGTTTTATAGGGTTGAGTTAATTTGTCGTAACTAACCATTCAACGATACTCCTCTTTCAATATTTCATTGTTTATTCTAAACAGCACTTAATGCTTTTTCATCGCCTAGTCTACCTTTTATGATGCATTCGCAGGAATTCCAGTTATTTTGAGCTATTGGATTAGTCTGGAAAGATTGTTTAATTTACCCATGCTGATTCCTGATAATCCCATTTGACACAAGTGCTGAAGCACGATGTATGTTCACTTGCTTGAAGGAACCAATTTTCGCCAAACTACAGGTTTCGTGATCAAATTAAATTAAGGACGTCACACAATTAAGGGCTGGGAAACTTCAGTGTTTATACACTTTGATAAAAGTACCGAATTTTCATAAAAATTTTACTGGTTTCAGATATGATCTATTTGTATTGTTAAGTATATGCAAAATCTAATCTTAGAGAATTTTTATGAAGAATTTCGAAACAACGAGGAACTGTGCAATGTGACAAGTACTGACAAAATCATTATGAAACATACTTTTCTATTTAAAAAAGCTCATATAAATTCACAAGGTAAAGTGAGATCACATGTATAACTAAAGAAATTTCAAAGCTAATTAAAATATACTGAACAACTTACAAAAATAAATCAGAATCACATATACCTTTTCCGACAAAATAAATAAATAAAATCCAAACTACTAATATAGACATTTGACAAAGATAGTAACTGAGCGACTAACTATGGGATAACTTGTGAAACAACGAAAAATCAGTTCATTTTTTTTCTGATGGTTTATTGTTATTACAGTTTAAAACTAATCATATACATAAATTAGTTAGTAACACTTAAAATCAAATAAACTTACGTTTGCATCACAATGTGCCATAGCCCGTTCAGTAATTTCTACAACCATAGCAAAAGCTGTTTCTTGGAGACTAAAGCATAAATCAGCCACAGTGTATTCACCAGTTTCTAAAAGCTTTGGTGCACGCTCTTCCAAAAATGATAATAATCCTGCAAAAGAAACATCCATACCCTTTACTGCATATGGTAACTCGAAAAATTTGGATCCCTGTTTGGCTAGCTTCTCAATGTTATAGCCAGGACTTGGATCATTCGAAAGATTTACAATACGGGCAAACCTAAAGTGAGAAACACTCTGGGTTACGTATGGGTAACTGAAATAACTGATGCACAATAAAGAGACAATTAAATGTTTTTCTAAAAAAATATCCCAGCAATCAAATGTCGACGAGGTGGACTGGGTTAGAACGAGCATGAAATCATCTTACTGAAAACGTGTTCGAGTATTAGTTCCCAAAAAAGAAAACACGCGAATTCAAAAACCAATTGTTGAATAATTGTTAGGCAATAAGTCCCATCTGTATTCAAGGAAATAAATCGTTTTTATTAACGAGTAGACATTTCAGAGCTTAAAACAAGCGAAAATTATGACGATCGTGATAAATGGGAAAAAGATTATTATTGTTGCTATAAATAAAAAAATTATTATGATGATCAGCTGCTTTCATAACTCTCCACAGGACCATATTAATAGATTTAGTCAAAAACGTTTCAAATCGTTATGAACAGGGTGAAATCAGCAACGTTGAGGTTTCTAGAGAAAGCCTAAAACCATTCATCCGTGTTTTAAAACATTTTCTATCCCACATAAAACCATGCAAGAAATCACGCTTCTATAGTCTATCGAAAATTCATGACCGGTGATTCGACTAAAAGTCATAATTTGATGCAGTACTGTTTACAAATTAAGTTGCGTCGCTTGTGGTGCATTTTATGTTGAAGTCTTGTTTCCCTTTCGTGATATCCTGTGTCATGTCAAAGACATTTTGAGCAATAAAAGAACCAATAACACTTCTGCAGAATTGGAAAATTACGATGTGCATCTCATACTCAACTAAAATATTGAAGATGAAAATGTTCAAAATATCTAACCTGATTGAAGACGAATTAGCTGGAGCATCTGTGATTACTCTCAGTAAAGAAGGTTTCAACAACCTCCGTATTTGGACAGTCTGTTAAAAAGTCAGATCAGCAACCCAATTAAAACGGTTTTGCAAAAGCATGCACATACTGAATCGCTCATTCTCACCAAAAACTTCACATTTACTCACCCCGCAGCAAACACAAAACTTAATACGAGCAAAGCTAACACCGCTTAGTCAAAACTGTGCCAGGTATGACTTTGTCAGGCCTAGTCTTTTCTGTATTAACAAGCTAATTTGGTAATGGTTTATTCCTCTTACTGTTAAAATTTATATTGTCTTACGAAAGTTACTTCTACTGAAGAAGTTACACGATGTGAAACTTCAGAAATCCACCACTTTATTTATTGAGATAACTATCACATTAAGTCCTTTATAAATCATTAAAAACATGAAGTCTAGTGGAAGGATATTTTCCCAATCAATTTATTATCAAGATTTACAATCATATATATATATATATATAATATATATATATATATATATATATATATATATATATTACTCAGCACCAACCTCGCATAAGTTTTATTTAAGAGCTTAACAATTAGCACTGTGCAGCAAAACGCAATTGAGCGAATCTTAAACATTACAAATGTTGTTCACTGTACTACCAATCGGATAAAGAAAGTTGTAAACGACATTATGTTATTTACATATTTTAACTAGTGAGGTAGCGAACCGATGTATTTTTCATATAATTCTGTAAGAAAGAGATCGATTAATCAGCTTTAGAAGTGGTTGACTTAACAAAAAATATTGCATCATCTGAAACATACAGTTGGGATTTTACGAACAACTTGTAACAATGAAATCAGGACCGATATAACACGCGAAGTACGTCGGAATATGGCATCAATGATATCGTGTTGTGGATACATCAATGCTTATAAGGGTAGACGTTTTAAAATAAAAACGGCACAAGTGTTTGTTGCTTCCTAACGTCACAGGAAGGTGGAGCAAACAGTAGTTGGAGTTTTGCTCAACTAGGGCATTACTGATCGATCCACATCACTGATACTTGTTCACCAGGAATATCAACTTTAGCATTTTGTAATGGTATTCTTTACTTGACTACCATATTTAACATAACCATTGAAAATTAATACGATTGTACCAACTCTTTCGAAAAACTTTTAACTAGAATACCTTTCAAAATGGGTAAGTGAAAATTGGACACATCAGTGGAGTAAATGGTGAGGCTTAAAAAACGGACAGTACTTCTACAATCTATAAAAAAGACTAATGTTAAGCAATCTCAAGATATAGGCATAATACAAATTATCTGAGGTGGAAAATATTGATTAATGTTTGTTCGAAAAAATAATGACTTATAAAGAGTACGTTAGACATATAATAGGTACAAAATCTTGACACAAACCAACCTATCAAAACAATTGCCCAATGCTATATCGATCGTTTCTCCGAATATTCGATAACGCCCAGAAACGAAAGCAATAATTTGTGTATTACCACCGCTGACGTACAATATGATGGGTGATTTTGCACCAGTGATAAGACGACCCATTTCAATATGTGCTATGCAATGATTAACTCCAATTAAAGGTTTGTTCCATAATTGAGCAAGAGTACGAGCAACAATTGCAACAGTGAGAAGAGGAGCACCCATACCAGGACCCTGAAGACGGGATGCAAATTTCATAAAGATATATGTTCATAAAAACAAAGGACAGTGATTGATTTACATGTCATCAAATTAAGTGCCTAGCATGACCGAATACACACGTTGTGTATTATGAATTATTTAATCAGTTGTAAAATATTTCTAATTACAATTTGAAAAATTACCATGTGATTTAGAAAAACATATCATAAGCGGACAGTATTGTTTTTGACTAGTTCCTCATCAGGCGATCATTCTGCTGATAACATCCACTTCTCTAATTCTCTCATTT